CGGAAGCGCACTGGAGACGAGAGATACCATGCTGCCATTGAATCACAAAACATGACACTCTCACAGCGCGTGGAAACCATTCTTGCTCGGCCTTTCAAAGTTCTCTTTCGTGAACCGATGTTGATTGCTATAACTCTGTATATGAGCGTAAGTGTAGCTATTTTGCGATTTGACGAGAGGGTTGTTGACATTGGATCCCAGTTTGTCTACGGCTGTATATACCTGCTTTTTGAGGCCTATCCCGTGGTTTTCACCAAGGGGCATAACTTGGATGCGGGTGTGTCTGGACTCGTGTTCCTTCCGCTGCCCATTGGCGGGTTTATTGCGGTTGCAACGGTGTGTATATTTCATCATTATGCTTCCACGCTTTATCATGCGTTTTAGTACATTCTCTTTCTAAACCCAGATTACGAGCGCAAAGCTCAGGAATGCGCACCAAACCCTGTGCCACCAGAGTTCAGATTGAGGGTCGCCATGATCTCAGCGCCATTCTTTGCCATATCGTTCTTTTGGTTTGCGTGGACATCCTTTCCTAGTATTTCGATGTGGGCCCCGATGATGTCGGGTGCATTGCTCGGATGGAGCATTTGCTTGATATTTGTATGTTGTCCCAATTTGCATGCTAATCTACAGCTCACGACGGCTTTGAAGCTTGCCCTGTTTAACTACATCATTGATGCATATCTGGCTATCGCTGCGTCGGCGCTAGCTGCAAGTACTGTCGGTCCAGTCTGTTCGGCGCTGGATTTACTGTGATGAAGATATAGTCCGTTCAATATATCGGCTGATATTCTTCGCTCAGCTCTTTCGCCACTCAGATGGCGACAGACTGGCCCCGAATGGCTTCGACGCTACTTGGTTTCATCGCTCTGCATGATGCCAATTCCCGATCCGTACTGTAAGGTAAATTTCATGCAAGTCTATGCTGCGTCATGTTGGGCTAACGTTGAAGCAGATATGGACCAATATTGAGATTCAAGTCGAAATATGCTCCATCCGGACCATTACCTTCAAGCTCCCCAGCATAATCTAATAACTCTTAATAACTTATTTTATATATGACATCCCAAGTACCTATACATATACATACCACACCCGCGACTCCCAACATTAGTGGAGCAGGGCTCTCGTCGAACACGATCGGTTCCTCATCTCCCATAACCCCTGCTATCTACGCCCGTGTTCAGCTTGGCGCCGACAAACAGCGTGCGCTCGTCGTGGTCGGCGACGTACGGCTATGGGTAGCGAGGAAGCCGACGAGAAGGAAGACGAGGGCGGGGGCACCTAGTTCGAGCAACATATTATTAGTTTGTACATACCAATATCAGCCATAATTGTGACTGTTCCCAATTTTTGATCCCGTGAGAATTAATAACCATTATCATAACGGCGGCAGCGCCAGCCCTTATTCCTAACGATAATACATGCAACAAGCAAGATTCGGTTCTGCTTACAATGAGTTCACCTACCCAGAGGAAGCCGCTTTCTACAGCATTGAGAACCTCGAGCGCTACCCGGGGAGCGGAAAATTCAGGATGATCGAAGGCTCGTATTACTTTCGTAGTGCGGTCGACAAACGAGCTTTCGATCGTTGGCAAGCTGACCACAGTGGCCTAAGAACGAGAACCGATAAGAATGCTACAGAGCTGCAAAACAAAAGCTCTTCACACCTTGATTGCAGGATTTTTCCCCAATTCACTAAGGTGTCGCTCGTGAGCTTTAACGGAGCGAGTTTGGATTCCTGCGTAACCATGAAACGATGCCATTGTTGCTAGACGAAGAAAAACGCACCAGGAGATCCCCGAATTGTTTTGACCAGACACTCCGTGGCTTGGATATGTCCAAAACGTTACCTGTGACTGATATCCGTGCTCCAGTGAGATCCGTCACAGGTCGCATTGTGAATGAACCTTCGCATGCATTTTCAACGAGAGTGAGTGACGGTGGGGCTTCTTCGACAAGTACCTCGCCCTTAGTTGCCACCTCACGCTTTGCGCTCGTGTGAGGAGCAATATGCACTTCGGATGATACGCCCAAAGGAACTGCACCAACGCGGACAGCGGCCTGCTGCTGGACAACTGTAGACCAGACAAACGCGCAAAAAGCATCGTCGACGACCTGCGGGTGGGTAGCCGCGTCGTGACTGTAGAATCCTACGATAAAATCTTGCAAGTGGGAAACGTTACAACCTGCAGGAACGGCAGGAAATAACAAAAATCAGGTGCTGTTCGAAAAAATGGAAATTTAGCAAGAGTTGTCATGATGGGGATTCAAACGATCCTCTTCACGATCAGTACCCCAAAAAACACCGAGGACAAGATGAGATCAATACATAGTGCTCACGTACCAAGATCGCCGTCGAATGAAAACTCGGAGACAACGATGCATGAGCTCATCCATGATCAGGAGAATTATGAGTAGTCCTAACTAGTGGAAATAGCAAGGCTCCTCCAAGTGGGGCCTGGACTAGACTATGTGTGGGATCGCAAAATTTACTCGATATCGGCTATCACTATAAGACAGCGGGCCAGCGTCGTAAACGACGATGAGGAAACTTCGAAAAGCGTTAGTGTGGTGTGACAAATCAATGTGAGATTTTGTGACGGCGGCGGGTGGCTCCGACACAACCCGACGCACAACGTTGACCGTCACTCAATATTCAATAATGCTAATCCGCCTGAAAACATTCAACGAGACACCAAAGCCTTAAGGATCATACAAAACCATACCTAGTCTCGACTGCAGAACCTATATGGGATATTCCAGATGATATCCTTCTGTCCTCATCATCATCTATGACAAAGCTGCCAATGGCATACTCGTTTGGCCACGTACGGGAGAACTTGACCACCAGCGCAGCGTTCTGCGCTCTCCCTTCGGGTATATACTTCCCTCCTCACCGGTCTGGTAGCAAACGTGGGACCTCCCGGCGGGGCTTGTGTGAGCAAACCCCGTCGATAAGCAAGTGACTGATCGTAAGAAGGAGAGACCTGAGTGTTTGCGATATCCTTGATGAATTGGCGATCGGAATCGCTTTCAACATCACCTTCCGAGTGCGACAATCCCTCACTTGCTTCGTCACCAGAGTGAGCCGCTTCTTCATCCAGCCACGGGTTATGTCGCATAGATACAAATGGCTTTTGCTTGCTATGCTTAGGGGGCGGGCTTGATCCCCAAGAAATGATATCTTGTAAGCACGCTGGCTTACCTGAGTTCCCATAATCAGTACATATACTGTCGCTGATGCTGAAAGCTAAGCTTTCAGTATTTCACCTTTTGGTGTAACGGTTATGCGGGCGGCAGTCTGACCATGTTACATATCTGTATCCTTTCGTTGCAAACGTCGTTGGGAAAGAGGTGGTATGTCCAATGCCAGTGAGTAAAGCTCTGCGGCTGCTGCACGCGGCTTGAAGAAACGTCCAGCGGGTCGCACAGCGAATGAGGTATCTGGACTGTCGTGATCGGAAGAAAGTACGGGCGACTGAATGATACCTCGGCATGGTAGAGAAGGTGGTGGCATTAGATGTGCCCCGGGCGAGAGATGCCTTTGGTCTATAACGCTTTCATCGTCGAATAGGCTATCTGCGCGACTCGCAGCGCGAGGACTGCGTTCTTGTGGTGGTGCCATGGATGGGGACGACAGAATTTGGATGTCAGGCTCATCATCTAATCATAGTAGCCACGCCGTGCTTCGTGTATGATTACCCGTCACCCCGTCTGAAGATGAGAGCAGTGATGGCGAGCGATCTGGGGATCGTTCTCCACTCCTCCCATGAAGTTCCGTTTGTAGCACTTATTGGTCGGAGAGTTTCTGGGACCACACAACATTGATAAAGATTCTGCGGCTTGATCAGGGTCAGTTTGGGGTGGTGGCGGGGAGGATGATATCTCTATCACATTATCCGCATCGGCGACGAAGATAACACGCTTGGGGGCCGCACTGGCGCTGAAGGATTCTCTGCCTCTGAGGAGCTTTTTGAAAAGTAGTGCATCGTCTTTGGTAAGACGACAGCAAAGACTTTTGACTGCAGATGGTTTTATACAACCATTCGAGCCAAAACCGGAGTCTCTTTATGGATGTATTTTTTCTTCGATCCATCCAATTGAAGCTAAAGATAGGAAGCAAAATTAATATTTCCTCGATAATAGAGCGGTCATGTTCACCAGTGAGTCGCTGATGTGCCACGCCTCGAACATTCAGTTCTTCGGCTTCGTCCTGGCTAAAGTGATTACCACAGGATCGAAATTGGTTTCTCCTGGAAGTACTGTGCAAGCTCAAAACTTGCCAACGACAATTTTTCTCTCTCTCGGAACATACCTTGACATTCGCTCATGGATGATTTCGTCGGAGGTTCAGCTGAGTGGTCTTGATCAAGTGGTTGACGCAACAGAAACAAACTCGAAATCTGTTTATCTTGGATCGTGCAGGTTTGAAACTTGCCATGCAAACGAGTCGGACAAGGTTTTTCTTCTATCGGAACACGCCTTAAAGCTTAAAGCTTAAAGATTCGTTCATGGATGGTTTCCTCGGAGGCTCATGTTAACTTCTCCTGACCAAAGTGGTCACCACAACAGAATCTAAATCTGTCTCTTGGACTCAGTCTACCAGTGCAGGTTCCAAACCTGCCCACGACAAGGCCTTTTTTTTCTATCGAGACACGCCTTGAAGATTCACTGATGGATGGATTCCTTGGGGGTCCATCGTAACTCAGGCTGGTCTTATATGTAGCCAGTGGCCACGTTAACGTTACCACAACTGTTCAACAGAATCAAAAACTGTCAAACCTGCCAACGACAAATTTTTTCCCTATTAGAACACACTGCGATATTCACTTATGGACGATGTTCATCTGAACTGGTCTTAGCCAAGTGGTTACCGGAACAGAATCAAAATCTGTTTCACTTCAACTGTACGGCAGGTTCGAAACCTGCCGAAAGACAGGTGTTTTTCTATTGGAGCACACCTTGACATTGACTCATGGATGGTTTCCTCAGAGGTCTAATTTAACTGGTTACCATAACAGAATCAAAATCTGTTTCTCTTGGAGTTGGTTCGGAACCTACCGGCAACATTTTTGTAGTGTATAGATCCTCGGAGGTCCATCTTAACTATGCATAGTCATTGCGGTGAAACCTCTTTTTATGTGATAGTCTCCATGAAAGGGAATTCACTTTCGTGCCCCACGGTGACTTCAGCTTTCATCGGAATTTTTCCAGTTATCATCCATAACTTATGGGCATTCGAAAAGGTGGTTCGACGAGAATGCGATGCCGAGAACTTAAACACCATTCATACAGTACTGTAGGCGTTGATTCCATCAATTTGTTCGCTGTTTATTCACTATAAGTTATTCTCGTTTGATCATCTGACTGAGCGAAACCTCACCAGTTGATTGTGCTACTACCACTGTTAAATATGTATTTCCGGTTCACTGAAACGATGTCAACTTGGCGGTGGCCCTTCATTGGACGAACCTCTCAAAGGAAAGGAATGTCAGTGCTCAAACATCTTCTGACTACTGGTAAATCCGGCCCTCTAATTAGTCGTGCTTTCTGAAAGTTACATCTATCTCAATAATCTGTGAGAACCTGTTTATTGAAATGTGCTCATTCTCATCACACATGTAGCATATTGTCCGACAGTGAATTTTCCGCAGCTTCTCTCGATTGTTGCCCTGGCTCGTGACTAGTTACTTTCCAAAGGATACCGCTGATGATGTGCAATTATACCTTTGACACATTCTCCAAAATATAGCACACGACATTACTACTTCTAGAACAAGGTTGCTGCCGACAAAGCTCAACTAGACGTTAACGTTCATTAACACTCTCCAAAAGGTGGCAACTTGTGTATATACGACCAAATACTCAATCATCCTTTTAACTAGGGTATCTTCCATCGATTATGTTGTCGGGATTGGGCATGGTATAATTGGCGAAGCAATCATGCGCATAGTTGATCTCCCCAATTCGTTCATACATCCCGCTGATGAAGCTGGGTAGTGCGCAGAGACCGTTCGAATCTTCCATGCAACCATGGATGCCCGTTAGCGGCACCACACCATCATTCAGAAGGAACCGGATATGGGTCGGCTCCTCGGAGGCCGGGCAACTGAGCACCTGCGCTACAAGCTGGCAGGCAAAAGGAGCAATCTGGCTGACAATGAAAGACTGATGTGACTGGTCAGAGATCAGGTAAGCGGTAGTCTATGAGACTGCGTACACGATGATGGGGTATATGGTCGGTTGGCAGAGGACCAGTTGCAGCTAGACTAGTGAAGTTCAGAGCAGTAACGACCGAGCCCTTCCGTCAGTAGTCTGGCATCGGAGAGGAAGGAGGTGGCAGCATACTAGTGGAAATGATCACGTCGTGGCTAGCGTCCACATATGTAGGTTGACTAAGAGGGAATGTGATGTTGCTCGAGTCAAGAGTGCTGTTGGTGCTGCTGTTCCAGACATTGATGGGAGTGTGAGTGAGACGTGACACCAGTTCTTGAACATAGCCAAGGCCCAGCGCTGCTGCTGTTGGACTACCTGGTCCATAGCTGTACCAGAAATCTTTGTTCACAATAAAGTCATCAGTCACTCAGGCTGCAAGTTTACCGCTCAATGTGCTCACTAAGATCTACAAATAGAGATCACCACCGAGCTCAGCAGGGACTATTTGAGGGAACATACCGACGTAATACTCGTATCCTTCCCATTCTTTCTCAGTGAAGAGATCGCAAAACTTGGAATATCCGAGGGCCACGGTCTGCGGAATGTCAGAAATCCACGAAGATCGTGTAAATAATGTAATTACCTCATACGCGCACATTTCCTGCATATCAACCAATCGTGAGATAGTCAAATTAAATCCTTTGATCATTGGTTGCAAGCGCTTCCGAGCATCTTTGAGATAGATATCCGCCCATTTATTACCCTGAGTGCCACCGAAGTTACCGATATCCGCCGTATTGGAGTTGGGGCACACATCATAAGGAGCGAGGGTGTTGTTGAAATTGTTCTCCTCGATGATGATCTCCTGGTGATAGTCGGTCTCGTAAGTTCCGAGCCCAAAAAAGCCTGCAGCAAAGTTCAGGCTACCGATAGCATTATCAGGCATGGCGCGCGTAGAAATATGAGTAAATTGCTCACGCAGAATCCACCATTCGATCTACACGACATAAGCAAACTATCGGAGCGCATTGCGAAACAAACGTTCGATGCAGGCAAACCTTCAGAAGTAGTACGGAATACTGGGAGATCCGTAAAGGCATTGAGCAACTCGCCATATCTGTAACGGAAAGCAACCCCGTTGCTGAAGCTGATGGAGGGGAGCGTCAGTGGAAGTATCGTAATGTAGAGCGAACGTACAGCGAGTCGCGGCCGAAAGGCGTCAAGGTTTCTGCGCCCAACTTATATGTCCAGGTTGCCGAGAATTCCAAATCACCAGTGACACTGAAGCCTTCGTCCGATGCAGCAGCATGAATATCAGAGGCGAAGTCAGAAACTCCGGAACCAGAGGTTGGATAACGGGCTCCATGGCGCATCAAGAGATGCACTGCGTTGATGCCACACCCTTCTGGGATGACAGGGGATGCACCAGAAAGACCAAACGACTCCACAGAGTACAAGGGGGCCAAATTCCCCCAATGACGCATCACATTGAAGGTGATGTCTGCGCTGTCTGCCGAATTGGGCCTCGACAAGGGAAATACGTTTTCGACCTTAGAGAACGGGATGGCGGTGACAATTGCCGCAGGTTCAGCACCAGCTGAAATCTTCCTGATTAGAACACAGGAAATACAATGAGCATTATCACTGACTAGGCGTTGGACCTGCATAACCGACTTGAGGTGCATCCGGGAAGTAAGTGTCGATAGCAGTGTTGGTGGCACCGGGGGGAGGATAAGAATCAACGACGGTTGATCCTGCATAACTGGATGCTGACTCTGCGGTGCAAAACGGCAGAGCGAATAGCAGAACGGTGGCAAGCATGGCTTGATAAGTTAGAGAGGTCAGAAGGGCACCCGGGTTACATACTTTATAGAAAATATACATACATGATCATAATGAAAGTTCGACACTGAACAGAATACCACAAAATTGAAGGATGCTCAATTCTAAAAGAGTGATTGGTCTCCTGTTACTCGTCCTCGGTTCCCAGCTGAATGAAGTTCAAGGTTAAGTTCTATGCAAGACCCCGAGGAGCCCATCTTTGTTAGTTCCAACAGTTATTCTTTCGCCGACGATGTTTGTCAATGTCTTGCCTACCCGCCGCTCACTCCTCTGAATATCCATGTACGTTCCGATTTAGTTCAATACCTTCGTTCGACAAAAACTCATCTCAACTTATCCAAGCGCCCACTGATCACACCACTCGAATCACAAACATGCCGTCGCCATCACACTCTGGCTTCCTTTCACTCACCCCTTCGAATCTATCATATGAACGCTTCGACGCCGCCGCCCATGAAGGACCGTTGGCCTTTATCAAAATAGCTATATTAACATGTCAATAAATGTGGTCTTCGCGTTTGTTAATAATTAATAAACTTTCAAGACTTGGTATATATTTTTTCACCTAGATGCACCTTCCTCCCAACCCGCATAACATTGCACCTACTTCAACGGTTATCTTGGATCCCATGTCTCGCTCTAGCCTGATTTTCGACAACTCTGTGGTTTGGTCGGTGTGACCTCAGCAAACCCGCGACCATTTATCCGACTTATCGATCAGCGTCGCATTCAGGCTTGTGAGTCGGAGGTACAACGCGATTC